ATTTGGCCACATACCGAATAGTTATTAGGTCCACTATTCGGCCCGAAGCGAATACGAAACGAATATTCGGTACAGCCCTAGTATATACCAAACAGACTGCAATCTGTTGACATCTTCCAGTGTGTATACCTTTATTTTTTTTTTCTATCTTTATCTGCCTGCCTGTCTGTATATCTGTCTGTCTGCATATCTTCTGACTGGCTGACCGGTATCTGTCTGTCTTACATATGTGAGCCATGTATCATTTGGTCCAGCCTTGTCATGTTTGATCCAGCCTTGTAATGATTGATCCAGCCTTGTAATGTTTGATCCAGCCATGTGTATACCGTTTGATCCAACCTTGTAATGTTTGATCCAGCCTTGTAATGTTTGATCCAACCATGTACCTTTGATCCAGCCTTGTAATGTTTGACACAACATTGTAATGTTTTATCCAGCTTTGTAATGTTTGATCCAGCCTTGTAACGTTTGATCCAGCCTTGTAACTTTTGATGCAGCCATGTTATGTTTGATCTAGCCTTGTATTGTTTGATCCAACCTTGTAATGTTTCATCCACTGCCATGTAATTTTTGACCCAGCCTTGTAATGTTTCATCCAGCCTTGTAATGTTGATCCAGCATTGTAGCGTTTGATCCAGCCTTTTAATGTTTGATCCAGCCATGTAAGGTTTGACCCAGCATTGTAATGTTTGATCCAGCCTTGTAACGTTTGATCCAGCCATGTAAGGTTTGATGTAGTCATCTAATTTCGTGATGACGTACCTAGAACAGATTGTAGTGAAATTAGCCGATTGTTTTATGAGCCTAATATGTTATCCGTTAATAAAGACTCTGGTCGGGTTGTTCTCTCCCCCCCCCCCCCCCCCAATAAGTTTTCTAGTGATGGTTTGTGTTTTAGTTACACTTGCTGTTGTTGATCTAGAAGTCAATTTAGCTGCAAGAGACACCCAGCTGTCACATATTAGACGGTCCGTGCAATTCTGGCATTACAAGCTACATTAAACAGGGTTGTATCCCGTTGTTGGAAGAAAACTGTCACTTAACAACAGTAATCCGCACCAGCAGAATGCTGGCTGGCTCAGAGGAAACGGTGAGTTCCATGCATGAACTGGTCGATTCTTTTAGTTGTTGCTTCCACTGGTTGTAAGTGCTGCCAAATAATACAGGTAAGCTGGAGTTAGAGGCTCGAGCTATGTGCGTCACTGTCGGCAAATAGCTTACTACTATATGGAAACAGATCCAGCCATACAGGATACAAGAAATTGATCTTCTGGACTTGAAACAACAATACTTGCCGCCAAAGTCAGTTCTTAGATCGTGGACAGTCAGTAGATTGGGGACTGTCATATTATGGACTGTCAGGAGATTGTGGACTGTCATATTATGGACCGTCAGAAATTGTGGACAGTCAGCAGATAGTGTCAGTCATTAAATAATGAACAGTCAGTAGATAGTGAACAGTCAGTAGATTTTGAACAGTCAGTAGATAGTGGTCAGTCATAGATTGTGGACAGTTAGCAGATTGTGAACAGTCAGGAGATTGTGAACAGTCATGAGATTGTGGACAGTCAATAGAAAGTGGTCAGTCAGCAGATAGTGGTCAGTCAGCAGATAGTGGTCAATCAATAGATAGTGGTCAGTCAATAGAAAGTGGACAGTCAATAGATAGTGGTCAGTCAGCAGATAGTAGTCAGTCAGCAGATAGTGGTCAGTCAATAGATAGTGGTCAGTCAGTAGATAGAGGTCAGTCAGTAGATAGTGGTCAGTCAGTAGATAGTGGTCAGTCAGTAGATAGTGGTCAGTCAGTAGATAGTGGTCAGTCAGTAGATAGTGGTCAGTCAGTAGAAAGTGGTCAGTCAGTAGATAGTGGTCTGTCAGTAGATAGTGGTCAGTCAGTAGAAAGTGGTCAGTCAGTAGATAGTGGTCCATCAGTAGATAATGGACAGTCAATAGATAGAGAGGCTTTTTGTCCGATTCAAATTTCTAGTTTCTACTATCTTGTTGAATGTCATCATATGAATTCTTAGTATAAATTATGCAAGCCATAAAATTCATTTCATAGATAGTTCCCCCCCCCCCCCCCCCCCTCTCTCTTTTCTGTCTTTCTCTCTCTCTTGCTCTCTCATTCTCTGTGAGTAAGTGCCTGTGTCTTATCTCCCCCCCCCCCCCCCCCCCCCCCGCAGTAATTTTATATTTATGTAAACAAGACACAAACTGACCCCTGTTAGGGCGTTATTGAGTAACAAACAGTCTCTGTCAGTGGATAATTAGGAGAGCCATAGTCAAGTTGTGTTGCCCCTTTTGTTGGCTTTCATGACCCGGAAGTCGAGTTGTGTTGCCCCCTTTGTTGGCTTTCACGACCCGAAAGCTGAGTTGTGTTGCCCCCTTTGTTGACTTTCATGATCTGGAATTAGAACAGGCAGATCCAGAATCAGACAACTGCAGCTTGCTTCAGCTCATTATTGTCTGGTTAAACATCACAGCTGGCTTCAGCTCATTATTGTCTGGTTAAACATCACAGCTGGCTTCAGCTCATTATTGTCTGGTTAAACATCACAGCTGGCTTCAGCTCATTATTGTCTGGTTAAACATCACAGCTGGCTTCAGCTCATTCATTATTGTCTGGTTAAACATCACAGCTGGCTGTGTGTTGAAGTCCACAAGTGTTTGTTGCAGCTGTTCCAGAAACGAGAAGCAATTTCCCTGTTGTAGGTCATACATTGATTGATTAGTTCAGAGGCTGAAGCTCATACATTGATTGATTGGTTCAGAGGCTGAACCTCATACGTTGATTGATTAGTTCAGAGGCTGAAGCTCATACGTTGATTGATTAGTTCAGAGGCTGAAGCTCATACATTGATTGATTGGTTCAGAGGCAGTAGACACTCCTGGCTCTCTTTCACAAGTGGTTCTTGCATTCACTCATATATCTTCAGTGTTCCTATGTGAGCCCTATGTCCCCATATTTTAAGAATGGACCCCTCCCCCTCCCCCTCACTAACAAGCATGTCGTTAAGTGACTAGTTAGAGCTGTTTCCTTTAAAGTCAGAGAGATGCCTCTGTCTGAGTGGTGGGGAACCAGCAGTGCGCACACAGACAAACCAGATCTGTAAAAAAGGGATGTGCAGCAGAACTCAGATGCTAGAACAAGACTAAAATTTAGAAGTTTATGAACAGCCAGAACTTTTCACTTGTTTGCAGCCAGCGAATTTAAAGAAGAAGAAGATTTTGAGTTGCCAAGTTTACATGTCAAGCTTACTCCTTTCGTCACTTAGTAATAGTATTGTAACTTTATTGGAGTGAAACAGACACTGGCAAACTAACACTAGACGTTTCCAGCCTATCTAGGGTTGCAATACCACATGACGATTTGTGGAGGCTTGCAGACAAGTCATGTTAGTCACTGGACCACCTCCTCTCCCTGATTGCCTCAGGCTGCCTTTATTGTTGTTGATTGTTGGTTTAATTTTACAAGCGTTTGTTGTTTGTTGTTGTTTTAGAACCTTGTCACTCAGAGGCGTTCATTTTGTAAATGTAGACTCTAGAGAAGAGATTCATGACATCCTTTTGTCATGACACTAGTCTGTACAGATTTCTCTTATTTATATCGAAACTGTGGCTCATTGCCTCCTTACAACTTGCTTGTTATGGGGAAGTACTCAAACACCACATATTCCTCTCCTCCCCCTGACATGGAGTCTCTGAGACCACACGGGTAGCCCTATAGAGACAAAGTTTGCTGAATGTACAAGATTGGGGCATCAGGTCATATCAAAGTACACACAGGGACATCTTGGGATCAAGCACATCACACAGGGACATCTTGGGATTAAGCACATCACCCAGGAACATCTTAGGATCAAATCACACAGGGACATATTGACATCAACTGTATCACACGGACATGTTGGGATCAAGCACATCACACATGGGACTACTTGGAATTAAACATATCACACAGGGACTATTCAGGATTGAGCACATCACACATGGGACATATCATACATGGGACTACCTAGGATCAAAAATATCACACCGGGATATCTTAGGATTAAAGCACATCACACAGGGACTATTTGGGATCAAGCACATCGCACATGGGACTACCTGGGATCAAGCACATCGCACATGGGACTACCTGGGATCAAGCACATCGCACATGGGACTACCTGGGATCAAGCACGTCGCAAAGAGACTATTTGGAATCAGCCACATCACACAGGGACTATTCGGGATTAAGCTCACCACACATGGGATTATTTGGGATCAAGCACACCACAAATGAGACTACCTGGGATCAAATATATCACACAGGGATATCTTATGATAAAGCACATCACACAGTGACTATTTAGGATCAAGCACATCACACATGGGACTATTTGGGATCAAGCACATCACACAGGAACTATTTGGGATCAAGCACATCACACAGGGACTATTTAGGATCAAGCAGATCACACAGGGACTATTTGGGATCAAGCATATCACACAGGGACTATTTGGGATCAAGCACATCACACAGGGACTGAGTGGGATCATGCAGATCACACAGGGACTATTTAGTATCAAGCACATCACACATGGGACTATTTGGGATCAAGCACATCACACAGGGACTATTTGGGATCAAGAATATCATCACACAGGGGCTATTTGGGATCAAGCAGATCACACAGGGACTATTTGGGATCAATCATATCACACAGGGACTGTTTGGGATCAAGCATATCACACAGGGACTATTTGGGATCAAGCATATCACAAAGGGACTATTTGGGATCAAGCACATCACACAGGGACTGCATGGGATCATGCAGATCACACAGGGACTATTTGGGACCAAGCATATGACACAGAGACTATTTGGGATCATGCACATCACACAAGTACTATTTGGGATCAAGCACAGGTTGGTATTATCTTACATCCCAGTAGTGAGATGGTTGTATTTCTGTACAAGGCAACTAACACAAACCTGTTTGATTTCTTTTCCACAGTTTGTCAACCCAGAGCAAGCAGGCTATGTCGGGTTTGCCAACCTGCCCAACCAGGTTCACAGAAAGTCTGTCAAGAAAGGTTTTGAGTTCACACTGATGGTTGTCGGTGAGTAAGTCAGTATCTTATCTGGGGGAAGTCACTGTTGCTTATTGATGGCTTGGACATTGTAGCCCTAGACACCATTTAAATAACAGGAGAATTACACATATAGTTAAGATACTTATCTGAGTTACTCATCTAAGACACTTATGGTGGCAACAGTAATGGGATTGGGGTGGGAGTCTGGTTCCCGGAAGAAGAGGCACAGTTTGACCAGCTCCACTATGGACTCATGAGGCCAAGCATACCCTGGGTGTGCAAGTTCACCAGGCAAGGACTGTTGGCATATACTTCAGTGGCTTTCTTCTGGCCGCCTGGGGTGATTAGGGGATTGACAAAAATTACTCTCAAGACAGAGCCAGCTGTTTTAGATAGCACTACCTGCTCAACAGTTGTCAGGAATCAGGTCTTAAACTTCAGATTCTGCTGCTCCTGGCTCCATGGGATTAGAATCCTACACAAGTTGGATTGTTGCTGTGACACTTTGACCCACTAGTCTCCTCGCCCACACTTCATTACAGGGAGCCATCAGGCAAGCAGAGTTATTAGCCACTGTGCCTCCATTTCCAGTATAATGTGTAGCAGACAGTTGTTAGATGTGGCTAGCAGGGTAACTGACCACCACACCTCATTAGCAGTCACATAGAATATGTGAGGATCTAACACTTGAGGCCCCCAGCAACAATGCCCACTGGTCTTTGATACCATAAACCTGGTCATGTCAGTGGATCTTAATGTTAAGACACCAACAATGTGTGTGACTCTTGTCTGCAGGTGAGTCTGGCCTAGGCAAGTCTACCTTAGTCAACAGCCTCTTTCTGACGGACCTGTACCCAGAGAGACACGTCCCATCTGCTGTTGGTGAGTAGTTCGTATGTGTAGTGTAGTTCCTGCTTTATGTGTATTGTAGTTCCTGCCGTATGTGTAGTGTAGTTCCTGCCGTATGTGTAATGTTGTTCCTGCTATATGTATAGAGTTTAACTTATTCCTTCAGCACTCAGTGCACCCAGTGAAGTCTCTGCATCATCTCTGCAGTCAGTGTTTTTTGCCATACTAGATCGCCTCTTTTCTTCATCTCCTCCTTATTTGCGTCTCTCTGTCTCTCTCTCTCTCTCTCTCTTTCTCTGTCACACACTCACACACTCTCTCTCTCTCTCTCTGTCATATGCACTCTCTGTCACACACATACTTTCTCTGTCTCTCTGTCACATGCGCTCACACACACACACACCACACACACACACACACACACGCAAACTTTCTCAAATCACTGTAATTTCCATTCACACATCTCTCTCTCTCTTTCTCTCCTTGTTTTTTCATTATCTCTCATTTTGTTTTTAAATTTCACTCTATTGCTTGCTTATCTTTCTCGTTGCCTCTCTTTCCCACTGATCTTGTTTCTCTCATTCAAACTAAATTTCAGGAGGAAAGCTAACCCAGTTAAAGCTGTCTGCCCCACACACACACACACACACGCACACGCATGCGCACACAGAGAGAGAGAGAGAGACAGAGAGAGGGCAATGACAACTGCTCCTGCTATTTCTACAACCACAACATCCACTACCACCATCACTAAAGTTACTGCTACACCTTGTTATGAGCTCATTTCTCACATAACTCTCTTGTGTCCACTTGGTTGTTACTGTGACCTGTTCCCACAGCTAGTACAGCTGCCCTGCTGCTGCTAGTACGGCTGCCCTGCTGCTGCTGGTGCCGCTGCCCTGCTGCTGCTAGTACCGCTGCCCTGCTGCTGCTAGTATGACTGCCCTGCTGCTGCTAGTACCGCTGCCCTGCTGCTGCTAGTACCGCTGCCCTGCTGCTGCTAGTACCGCTGCCCTGCTGCTGCTAGTACCGCTGCCCTGCTGCTGCTAGTACCGCTGCCCTGCTGCTGCTAGTACCGCTGCCCTGCTGCTGCTAGTACGGCTGCCCTGCTGCTGCTAGTACCGCTGCCCTGCTGCTGCTAGTACGGCTACCCTGCTGCTGCTAGTACGGCTGCCCTGCTGCTGCTAGTACCGCTGCCCTGCTGCTGCTAGTACCGCTGCCCTGCTGCTGCTAGTACCGCTGCCCTGCTGCTGCTAGTACCGCTGCCCTGCAGCACTGTTCCTGCTACTGGGCCTGTTGTTTATTTCCTGTTCCACACATGACCTACTTCCATATCTCTTCATTGCTGCTGGTTGTTACATCAACAACCTATGTCACAAATTGTTTTTTGTTTTTTCTGACTGTACCTTTGAGCTCTTCAGACCTAGTTCCTTCTTGTTCTTGGCCACTGGAATATATGGAGAGGGCTAAGTGACCCACTAGCATTCTACAGACATTCTTGTATGAATTATTTCACAGTTCTGATAGATGTGATTCCATTTATTTGCCATTCATTACATAATAATAAAGATAATAATCATTATTGTGGTACAAACTTCAGCCCCTTGAAAGCCTTCCTAGAAAATCATTATTGTGATACAAACTTCAGCCCCTTGAAAGCCTCTCTAGAAAATCATTATTGTGATTACACACTTTAGCCCCTTAAAACGCTGCCTAGAAAATCATTAATGTGATACACACTTCGACCCCTTAAAACCTTCCCTAGAAAATCATTATTGTGATACAAACCTCAGCCCCTTGAAAGCCTTCCCAGAAAATCATTATAGTGGTACTTCAGCCCCTTGAAAGCCTTCCCAGAAAATCATTATAGTGGTACAAACTTCAGCCCCTTGAAAGCCTGTATAGAAAATCATTTTAGTGGTACAAACTTCAGCCCCTTAAAACCCTCCATAGAAAATCATTATAGTGGTACAAACTTCAGCCACTTGAAAGCCTCCCTAGAAAATCATTATAATGGAACAAACTTCAGTCCCTTGAAACCCTCCCTAGAAAATTTAATGGGTGCTTAGTGCCTCCCCAGAGTCTGACCTTGAAAATCAAGTTTACTTATTGGTTCACTTTAAACATAAAGTTTCTCATTGGTTTACTTTGAACATAGTGTTCTCATTGTTTTACTTTGAACATAAAGTGTACTCACTGCTTCATTTTTAACAGTGTCCTAAATGGTTCACTTTGAATATAAAGTGTACTCATTTATGCACTTTGAACATTGTCTTCACTGATTCACTTTAAACATAAAGTGTACTCATTTATGCACTTTTAATTACTGGTTCACTTTGAATATATTTACTCACTGGTTCTCTTCTTGTTTTATTAATTGCTCTGAGCACAGAGAAGCATAACATGTTTTTTAATTGTAGGTTCAGCTACAGCTCTCTAATGATTTGACCTGAGTTGTAGGTTCAGGGACAGCTCTCTAATGATTTCACCTGAGTTGTAGGTTCAGGGTCTGCTCTCTAATGATTTGACCTGAGTTGTAGGTTCAGGGACAGCTCTCTAATGATTTGACCTGAGTTGTAGGTTCAGGGACAGCTCTCTAATGATTTGACCTGAGTTGTAGGTTCAGGGACAGCTCTCTAATGATTTGACCTGAGTTGTAGGTTCAGGGACAGCTCTCTAATGATTTGACCTGAGTTGTAGGTTCAGGGTCTGCTTTTTGATGGTTTGACATGAGTTGTTGGTTCAGGGACTCATCTCTGATGGTTTGACCTGAGTTGTAGGTTCAGGGTCTGCTTTCTGATGGTTGGACATGAGTTGTTGGTTCAGGGACTCCTCTCTGATGGTTGGACATGAGTTGTTGGTTCAGGGACTCCTCTCTGATGGTTGGACATGAGTTGTTGGTTCAGGGTCTGCTCTCTGATGGTTTGACATGAGTTGTTGGTTCAGGGACTCATCTCTGATGGTTTGACCTGAGTTGTAGGTTCAGGGTCTGCTTTCTGATGGTTTGACATGAGTTGTTGGTTCAGGGACTCATCTCTGATGGTTTGACCTGAGTTGTAGGTTCAGGGTCTGCTTTCTGATGGTTGGACATGAGTTGTTGGTTCAGGGTCTGCTCTCTGATGGTTTGACATGAGTTGTTGGTTCAGGGACTCATCTCTGATGGTTTGACCTGAGTTGTAGGTTCAGGGTCTGCTTTCTGATGGTTGGACATGAGTTGTTGGTTCAGGGACTCCTCTCTGATGGTTGGACATGAGTTGTTGGTTCAGGGACTCCTCTCTGATGGTTGGACATGAGTTGTTGGTTCAGGGTCTGCTCTCTGATGGTTTGACATGAGTTGTTGGTTCAGGGACTCCTCTCTGATGGTTGGACATGAGTTGTTGGTTCAGGGTCTGCTCTCTGATGGTTTGACATGAGTTGTTGGTTCAGGGACTCCTCTCTGATGGTTTGACATGAGTTGTTGGTTCAGGGTCTGCTCTCTGATGGTTTGACATGAGTTGTTGGTTCAGGGACTCCTCTCTGATGGTTGGACATGAGTTGTTGGTTCAGGGACTCCTCTCTGATGGTTGGACATGAGTTGTTGGTTCAGGGTCTGCTCTCTGATGGTTTGACATGAGTTGTTGGTTCAGGGACTCATCTCTGATGGTTTGACCTGAGTTGTAGGTTCAGGGTCTGCTTTCTGATGGTTGGACATGAGTTGTTGGTTCAGGGACTCCTCTCTGATGGTTGGACATGAGTTGTTGGTTCAGGGACTCCTCTCTGATGGTTGGACATGAGTTGTTGGTTCAGGGTCTGCTCTCTGATGGTTTGACATGAGTTGTTGGTTCAGGGACTCCTCTCTGATGGTTGGACATGAGTTGTTGGTTCAGGGTCTGCTCTCTGATGGTTTGACATGAGTTGTTGGTTCAGGGACTCCTCTCTGATGGTTTGACATGAGTTGTTGGTTCAGGGTCTGCTCTCTGATGGTTGGACATGAGTTGTTGGTTCAGGGTCTCCTCTCTGATGGTTTGACATGAGTTGTTGGTTCAGGGTCTGCTCTCTGATGGTTGGACATGAGTTGTTGGTTCAGGGTCTGCTCTCTGATGGTTGGACATGAGTTGTTGGTTCAGGGACTCCTCTCTGATGGTTGGACATGAGTTGTTGGTTCAGGGACTCCTCTCTGATGGTTGGACATGAGTTGTTGGTTCAGGGTCTGCTCTCTGATGGTTGGACATGAATTGTAGGTTCAGGGTCTGCTCTCTGATGGTTGGACATGAGTTGTAGGTTCAGGGTCAGCTCTCTAATGGTTTAACATAATAGTGACCTTCTGGGAGGTCAGTCTAGCTAGAACAGATCCTGATGCTCTTTCTGCCTTTCAGAGATTGATTGTTTTATTCATGTTTTTTCTTTTTTTTTTCAGAAAAAATCCAGCAGACAGTCAAAATTGATGCCTCTACTGTGGAGATTGAAGAAAGGGGAGTCAAGCTGCGGCTGACGGTCGTGGATACCCCCGGTTTTGGGGATTCTCTCAACTCCACAGACTGGTGAGTGGCTATGGTTGTCCAGGTATGAATATTTGGGACAGATACTGGTGTCCTCATGTCTCTTCAGTATTATATGCCATCTCATATGTTCACATAGTTGATGGAAGAAGAGGCAAGAGTATTCAAATCTTCATCAAATGGGCTTTCCTGACTCTACCACAGGTGGATGTAGAGCACCCAGGCAAACTCTAGAGCGTGTCTGACATGATTCCACAGACTTTCCCAGTTTGAGGAAAGAAATCCTTCCCACTCAAAGCAGAGGCTAAATAAGAGACATTAAAGATCGCCTGGGGAGATCTTAGAAACTTTTTATTCCATGGATATTTTTACAGTAAGCTGTTAATTTGGCAGGTGATGTGGTCTGTATCAAACTGGCCGTCCCCGCAGCATCACTTGGTACCAGTGTTTAGAATGTCAACCATATAATTCTGTTCAGTATCAAAACTGTTATCTGGATGGGAATTTAGTTCGCACCTATGGTCATCAGACTGGTAAGCTAAAGTGCAATCCTACTTTTTTTCAGTGTAGTTGCACACATATTGTGTACCTGTAGTTTGGAGCACACAGGATTGCTTTCCTGTAGTTTGGAGCACACAGGATTGCTTTCCTGTAGTTTGGAGCACACAGGATTGCCTTCCTGTAGTTTGGAGCACACAGGATGCGTTCCTGTAGTTTGGAGCACACAGGATGCGTTCCTGTAGTTTGGAGCACACAGGATGCGTTCCTGTAGTTTGGAGCACACAGGATGCGTTCCTGTAGTTTGGAGCACACAGGATGCGTCCTGTAGTTTGAAGCACACAGGATTGCCTTCCTGTACTTTAGTGCACACAGGATGTGTTCTTGTAGTTTGGTGCACACAGGATGTGTACCTGTAGTTTTGAGCACACAGGATGTGTACCTGCAGTTTGGAGCACACAGGATGTGTACCTGTAGTTTGGTGCATGCAAGATGTGTACCTGTAGTTTGGTGCACACAGGATGTGTACCTGCAGTTTGGAGCACACAGGATGTGTACCTGTAGTTTGGTGCACGCAAGATGTGTACCTGTAGTTTGGTGCACACAGGATGTGTACCTGTTGTTTGGAGCACACAGGATGTGTACCTGTAGTTTGGAGCACACAGGATGTGTACCTGTAGTTTGGAGCTCACAGGATGTGTACCTGTAGTTTGGTGCACACAGGATGTCTACCTGTAGTTTGGTGCACACAGGATGTGTACCTGTAGTTTGGAGCACACAGGATGTCTACCTGTATTTTGAAGTACACAGGATGTCTACCTGTAGTTTAGAGCACACAGGATGTGTACCTGTAGTTTGGAGCACACAGGATGTGTACCTGTAGTTTGGTGCACACAGGATGTGTACCTGTAGTTTGGTGCACACAGGATGTCTACTTGTAGTTTGGAGCACACAGGATGTGTACCTGTAGTTTGGTGCACACAGGATGTGTACCTGTAGTTTGGTGCACACAGGATGTGTACCTGTAGTTTGGTGCACACAGGATGTGTACCTGTAGTTTGGTGCACACAGGATGTCTACCTGTAGTTTGGAGCACACAGGATGTGTACCTGTAGTTTGGTGCACACAGGATGTCTACCTGTAGTTTGGTGCACACAGGGTGTATATTACTAAATATAATAATAGACTTTGTGAACTCTTTCAGGCCCAGGCAACACTGTGTTGACTGAAAAGTTCTCATTTGACCAGACCACACAGTCTGCGTCGATTGTGTGCACCATACATATTGATTCACATACTGCTCCATATTCATTTCTTTTGTTCGGATCTACCATTAGAAAATTCAGGGAAGGTTATCCCAACGTTTTTTTTTTTTTTTTAACAGTATTTGTTCATACATACAGGTGCAGATTTATCCGATTCATTGCTAGCGTCATATTCAGACAGTGAATTTTCTGATTTCATCTTCAACTGGCCATGGATACAAATGTTCTGAACTCAAGCACAGGCCAAAAAGGTACCTTTCTGCGGCTGAAGCTCTAAAAGTGTTTCAGTCAAATGTTTTTCAATTTCAATCACACCACAGCGACTCCCTGATGATGTGAACACGCAACCGCTAGTGAACGTTTGGCCGCCACACCACAGCCACTCCCTGATGATGTGAACACACGACCGCTAGTGAACGTTTGGCTGCCACACCACAGCGACTCCCTGATGATGTGAACACGCAACCGCTAGTGAACGTTTGGCCGCCACACCACAGCCACTCCCTGATGATGTGAACCCGTGACCGCTAGTGAACGTTTGGCCGCCACACCACAGCCACTCCCTGATGATGTGAACACACGACCGCTAGTGAACGTTTGGTTGCCACACCACAGCCACTCCCTGAAGATGTGAACACGCGACCGCTAGTGAACGTTTGGCCGCCACACCACAGCCACTCCCTGATGATGTGAACACACGACCGCTAGTGAACGTTTGGCCGCCACACCACAGCGACTCCCTGATGATGTGAACACGCGACCGCTAGTGAACGTTTGGCCGCCACACCACAGCCACTCCCTGATGATGTGAACACTCGACCGCTAGTGAACGTTTGGCCGCCACACCACAGCGACTACCTGATGATGTGAACACGCGACCGCTAGTGAACGTTTGGCCGCCACACCACAGCCACTCCCTGATGATGTGAACACGCGACCGCTAGTGAACGTTTGGCCGCCACACCACAGCCACTCCCTGATGATGTGAACACACGACCGCTAGTGAACGTTTGGCCGCCACACCACAGCCACTCCCTGATGATGTGAACCCGTGACCGCTTGTGAACGTTTGGCCGCCACACCACAGCCACTCCCTGATGATGTGAACACGTGACCGCTAGTGAACGTTTGGCCGCCACACCACAGCCACTCCCTGATGATGTGAACACGTGACCGCTAGTGAACGTTTGGCCGCCACACCACCACAGCCACTCCCTGATGATGATGTGAACACACGACCGCTAGTGAACGTTTGGCCGCCACACCACAGCCACTCCCTGATGATGTGAACACACGACCGCTAGTGAACGTTTGGCTGCCACACCACAGCGACTCCCTGATGATGTGAACACGTGACCGCTAGTGAACGTTTGGCTGCCACACCACAGCGACTCCCTGATGATGTGAACACACGACCGCTAGTGAACGTTTGGCTGCCACACCACAGCCACTCCCTGATGATGTGAACACGCGACCGCTAGTGAACGTTTGGCCGCCACACCACAGCCACTCCCTGATGATGTGAACACACGACCGCTAGTGAACGTTTGGCCGCCACACCACAGCCACTCCCTGATGATGTGAACCCGTGACCGCTTGTGAACGTTTGGCCGCCACACCACAGCCACTCCCTGATGATGTGAACACGTGACCGCTAGTGAACGTTTGGCCGCCACACCACAGCCACTCCCTGATGATGTGAACACGTGACCGCTAGTGAACGTTTGGCCGCCACACCACAGCCACTCCCTGATGATGTGAACACACGACCGCTAGTGAACGTTTGGCCGCCACACCACAGCCACTCCCTGATGATGTGAACACACGACCGCTAGTGAACGTTTGGCTGCCACACCACAGCGACTCCCTGATGATGTGAACACGTGACCGCTAGTGAACGTTTGGCTGCCACACCACAGCGACTCCCTGATGATGTGAACACACGACCGCTAGTGAACGTTTGGCTGCCACACCACAGCGACTCCCTGATGATGTGAACCCGTGACCGCTAGTGAACGTTTGGCCGCCACACCACAGCCACTCCCTGATGATGTGAACACGTGACCGCTAGTGAACGTTTGGCCGCCACACCACAGCCACTCCCTGATGATGTGAACACGTGACCGCTAGTGAACGTTTGGCCGCCACACCACAGCCACTCCCTGATGATGTGAACACACGACCGCTAGTGAACGTTTGGCCGCCACACCACAGCCACTCCCTGATGATGTGAACACACGACCGCTAGTGAACGTTTGGCTGCCACACCACAGCGACTCCCTGATAATGTGAACCCGTGACCGCTAGTGAACGTTTGGCCGCCACACCACAGCCACTCCCTGATGATGTGAACACGTGACCGCTAGTGAACGTTTGGCCGCCACACCACAGCCACTCCCTGATGATGTGAACACGTGACCGCTAGTGAACGTTTGGCCGCCACACCACAGCCACTCCCTGATGATGTGAACGCGCGACCGCTAGCGAACGTTTGGCTGCCACACCACAGCCACTCCCTGATGATGTGAACACGTGACCGCTAGTGAACGTTTGGCCGCCACACCACAGCCACTCCCTGATGATGTGAACACGCGACCGCTAGCGAACGTTTGGCTGCCACACCACAGCGACTCCCTGATGATGTGAACCCGTGACCGCTAGTGAACGTTTGGCCGCCACACCACAGCCACTCCCTGATGATGATAATAAAAACTTGAATTTTTAGGGGGAAAGTGATTTGGACGGTGAATTTGCACCAGTGGCAGTTGCGAAGTCAGCTGTTAACAAATCTGGGGGAGGGGGAGTATCACTACCCCTTGAGGCAATATATGGAGTGTAATCACCACCCCTGTATGTATGTGATAATGTTAACAAAAATGTTATGTGATAACTACCACTGTGTATGTGGTTACTTAGCCCTGTCCACAGGACTATGATGTTCTGTGTGAAAGTAATGTATTATATATAATTTCAGCTTCCGACCGATTATCCAGTACATAGATGACCAGTTTGAGCATTACCTGAATGATGAGAGTGGCCTCAACAGGCGGCACATCGTGGACAACAGGGTACACTGTTGTTTCTACTTCATCAGTCCATCTGGACATGGGTCAGTACTTGAAGTCTCTAATGTTTCTCATGATTGTATCAAAATCAAATGTAAGAGTTCATGACATCCATCTTGTGGACACATGCTGCCAGTGTCACAGTTGTATGACATGTCTGTACACATTGTCTGTAGCAAGAATTCTTGACCTAGAAGGAAAACCTTATCTCCTGTGTCTTTTATAGATGATTTTATAGATAGAGATTTTAGGTAGCAGGTTTAGGATAGAGATTTTAGAGATTTTATACTTGTGCAGAAAGTGTTATTGACAGAGCAGAGATCAGGTCTGTGTTCTCTGCCTTTACCATCTGTATATTTAGCTGTGTCCTGCCTTTACTGGTTCCTCCATGCTGTGTGCCCATGATTCTGAATGACAGTCAACTTGCTGATTCCTCCGTGAAGTGTGCCCATGATTCTGACTGACAGTCAACTTGCTGGTTCCTCCGTGAAGTGTGCCCATGATTCTGACTGACAGTCAACTTGCTGGTTCCTCCGTGAAGTGTGCTCATGATTCTGACTGACAGTCAACTTGCTGATTTCTTCATGCAATGTGCCTATGATTCTGACTGACAGTCAACTTGCTAATTCCTCCATGCTGTGTGCCCATGATTCTGACTGACAGTCAACTTGCTAATCCCTCCATGCTGTGTGCCCATGATTCTGACTGACAGTCAACTTGCTGATTCCTTCATAAAGGGGGCCTATGATTCTGACTGACAGTCAACTTGCTGATTCCTCCATGAAGTGTGCCAGTGATTCTAACTGACAGTCAACTTGCTGATTCCTCCATGAAGTGTGCCAGTGATTCTGACTGACAGTCAACTTGCTGATTCCTCCATGAAGTGTGCTCATGATTGTGACTGACAGTCAACTAGCTGGTTCCTACATGAAGTGTGCCAGTGATTCTGACTGACAGTCAACTAGCTGGTTCCTCCATGAAGTATGCCCATGATTCTGACTGACAGTCAACTTGCTGATTCCTTCATGAAGTGTGCCAGTGATTCAGACTGACAGTCAACTTGCTGGATCCTGCATGCAGTGTGCCAGTGAATCTGACTGACAGTCAACTAGCTGATTCCTTCATGAAGTGTGCCAGTGATTCTGACTGACAGTCAACTAGTTGGTTCCTCCATGAAGTGTGCCAGTGATTCTGACTGACAGTCAACTAGCTGGTTCCTCCATGAAGTGTGCTCATGATTGTGACTGACAGTCAACTAGCTGGTTCCTACATGAAGTGTGCCAGTGATTCTGACTGACAGTCAACTTGCTGGATCCTGCATGCAGTGTGCCAGTGATTCTGACTGTCAGTCAACTTGCTGGTTACTCCATGAAGTGTGCCAGGGATTCTGACTGACAGTCAATTTGCTGGATCCTGCATGCAGTGTGCCAGTGATTCTGACTGACAGTCAACTTGCAGGTTCCTCCGTGCAGTGTGCCAGTGATTCTGACTGACAGTCAACTAGCTGATTCCTTCATGAAGTGTGCCAGTGATTCTGACTGACAGTCAACTAGTTGGTTCCTCCATGAAGTGTGCCAGTGATTCTGACTGACAGTCAACTAGCTGGTTCCTCCATGAAGTGTGCTCATGATTCTAACTGACACTGACAGTCAACTAGCTGGTTCTTCCATGAAGTGTACCAGTAATTCTAACTGACAGTCAACTAGCTGGTTCCTCCATGAAGTAGCTGGTTACCAATACCAGTGATTCTAACTGACAGTCAACTAGCTGGTCTCTCCATGAAGTGTACCAGTGATTCTAACTGACAGTCAACTAGCTGGTTCTTCCATGAAGTGTACCAGTGATTCTAACTGACAGTCAACTAGCTGGTTCTTCCATGAAGTGTACCAGTGATTCTAACTGACAGTCAACTAGCTGGTTTCTTCCATGAAGTGTACCAGTAATTCTAACTGACAGTCAACTAGCTGGTTCCTCCATGAAGTGTACCAGTGATTCTAACTGACAGTCAACTAGCTGGTTCTTCCATGAAGTGTACCAGTGATTCTGACAGTCAACTAGCTGGTTCTTCCATGAAGTGTACCAGTGATTCTAACTGACAGTCAACTAGCTGGTTCTTCCATGAAGTATTACCAGTGATTCTAACTGACAGTCAACTAGCTGGTTTCTCCATGAAGTGTACCAGTAATTCTAACTGAAAGTCAACTAGCTGGTTCCTCCATGAAGTGTACCAGTGATTCTAACTGACAGTCAACTAGCTGGTTCTTCCATGAAGTGTACCAGTGATTCTAACTGACAGTCAACTAGCTGGTTCTTCCATGAAGTGTACCAGTGATTCTAACTGACAGTCAACTAGCTGGTTCTTCCATGAAGTGTACCAGTGATTCTAACTGACAGTCAACTAGCTGGTTCTTCCATGAAGTGTACCAGTGATTCTAACTGACAGTAAACTAGCTGGTTCTTCCATGAAGTATTATCAGTGATTCTAACTGACAGTCAACTAGCTGGTTTCTCCATGAAGTGTACCAGTAATTCTAACTGACAGTCAACTAGCTGGTTCCTCCATGAAGTATGCCCATGATTCTGACTGACAGTCAACTTGCTGATTCCTTCATGAAGTGTGCCAGTGATTCAGACTGACAGTCAACTTGCTGGATCCTGCATGCAGTGTGCCAGTGAATCTGACTGACAGTCAACTAGCTGATTCCTTCATGAAGTGTGCCAGTGATTCTGACTGACAGTCAACTAGTTGGTTCCTCCATGAAGTGTGCCAGTGATTCTGACTGACAGTCAACTAGCTGGTTCCTCCATGAAGTGTGCCAGGGATTCTGACTGACAGTCAATTTGCTGGATCCTGCATGCAGTGTGCCAGTGATTCTGACTGACAGTCAACTTGCAGGTTCCTCCGTGCAGTGTGCCAGTGATTCTGACTGACAGTCAACTAGCTGATTCCTTCATGAAGTGTGCCAGTGATTCTGACTGACAGTCAACTAGTTGGTTCCTCCATGAAGTGTGCCAGTGATTCTGACTGACAGTCAACTAGCTGGTTCCTCCATGAAGTGTGCTCATGATTGTGACTGACAGTCAACTAGCTGGTTCTTCCATGAAGTGTACCAGTGATTCTAACTGACAGTCAACTAACTGGTTCTTCCATGAAGTATTACCAGTAATTCTAACTGACAGTCAACTAGCTGGTTTCTCCATGAAGTGTACCAGTGATTCTAACTGACAGTCAACTAGCTGGTTCTTCCATGAAGTGTACCAGTGATTCTAACTGACAGTCAACTAGCTGGTTCTTCCATAAAGTGTACCAGTGATTCTAACTGACAGTCAACTAGCTGGTTCTTCCATGAAGTGTACCAGTAATTCTAACTGACAGTCAACTAGCTGGTTCCTCCATGAAGTGTACCAGTGATTCTAACTGACAGTCAACTAGCTGGTTCTTCCATGAAGTGTACCAGTGATTCTAACTGACAGTCAACTAGCTGGTTCTTCCATGAAGTGTACCAGTGATTCTAACTGACAGTCAACTAGCTGGTTCTTCCATGAAGTATTACCAGTGATTCTAACTGACAGTCAACTAGCTGGTTTCTCCATGAAGTGTACCAGTAATTCTAACTGACAGTCAACTAGCTGGTTCCTCCATGAAGTGTACCAGTGATTCTAACTGACAGTCAACTAGCTGGTTCTTCCATGAAGTGTACCAGTGATTCTAACTGACAGTCAACTAGCTGGTTCTTCCATGAAGTGTACCAGTGATTCTAACTGACAGTCAACTAGCTGGTTCTTCCATGAAGTATTACCAGTGATTCTAACTGACAGTCAACTAGCTGGTTTCTCCATGAAGTGTACCAGTAATTCTAACTGACAGTCAACTAGCTGGTTCCTCCATGAAGTGTACCAGTGATTCTAACTGACAGTCAACTAGCTGGTTCTTCCATGAAGTGTACCAGTGATTCTAACTGACAGTCAACTAGCTGGTTCTTCCATGAAGTGTACTAGTGATTCTAACTGAAAGTCAACTAGCTGGTTCTTCCATGAAGTGTACCAGTGATTCTAACTGACAGTCAACTAGCTGGTTTCTCCATGAAGTGTACCAGTGATTCTAACTGACAGTCAACTAGCTGGTTCTTCCATGAAGTGTACCAGTTGTTCTAACTGACAGTCAACTAGCTGGTTCCTCCATGAAGTGTACCAGTGATTCTAACTGACAGTCAACTAGCTGGTTTCTCCATGAAGTGTACCAGTGATTCTGACTGACAGTCACCTTGCATGTTCCTCCATGCAGTGTGCCTATGATTCTGACTGACAGTCAACTTGGTGGTTCTTCCATGAAGTGTGCCAATGATTCTGACAGTCAACTTGTTGATGACAACAGAATGAATAGAGTTGACATTACTCAGAACCAGAAAGTTGTTATTTCAGTTCTGTTTGTTCCACTTGAAAGTATACTTCCACTTCATAGGTACAGTCTTTGACTATTGATGATATTTAGGACATAAAGAGTTACATAATAATTGCAATAGAATGACATAGAAGAAGTTGAGAACTGTGAAGCATGGCCGGTGGGGTGGTGGTTATAGTGTTTAGAGTGACCTTGTATTCTTTCAGCTTGTAACATCAATGATTTGTTTTCCATGTGAATGACCCACCTCAGACTGAAGCCACTAGACATTGCCTTCATGAAAGCTGTACATAATAAAGTCAACATTGTGCCTGTACTTGCCAAAGCTGACACCCTGACCCTGCTGGAGGTGGTCAGTCTCAAGAAAAAGGTATCTTTTTTTTTTTTTTGGTAGCCTGCTTTTTTAATGCTTTCTTCTGACAGGGGCTGCCTGATGTCTAGCACTCTTTAAAAACCACACTTAAAGAAAAAGTCAAAGGAAATGAGCAAGGAATAGATAATACAAGTGGGAGGACAACACGAAGATATGCTCAAACAGTAAACAACTAGAGTGAGACAAACAGAGTGCTGGAAATGCAATGCAGCTAGCTTTCATTGTTGAGATAGCCCCAGTGAAACTGTGAAGTCATTTGTCTCTCACTCTGTGGAGGCAATCACAGTAGCTCTGAAGGGACTAGCTGAACATAGATTTACCAGCAGACTAGTAGTGTCAAAGCCTCCACTGACAAAACTGAACAATGGACAAAAAAGTCACATTAAGTTGTTTCCATGTTGACCATTTAAAAAAAAAAAAAACTCTTATACTGCACTTTTTTTCCCTCAAGATAATTGACCAGATTGATGACCATGGCATCCGAATCTACCCACTTCCAGACTGTGACTCAGACGAGGATGAAGATTACAAGGAACAATGTCGACAGTTGAAGGTTGGTTCTGGGAGTTATTTTTTTCGCTTCAGTTGGCTGATAAAAGTTGGTTCCAAGAGTTATTGATTTCAGACACTGTTAATGACTGGTTGCTACCAGCAAAGGCAGAAGATTGTTTGCCACCAGCAAAGGCAGGATGATTGTTTGCCACCAGCAAAAGCAGGATGATCGGTTGCCACCAGTAAAGGCAGGATAATTGGTTGCTACCAGCAAAGGCAGATGATTGTTTGCCACCAGCAAAGGCAGATGATTGGTTGCCACCAGCAAAGGCAGATGATTGGTTGCCGCCAGCAAAGGCAGATGATTGTTTGCCACCAGCAAAGGCAGATGATTGGTTGCCACCATCAAAGGCAGATGATTGGTTACCACCAGTAAAGGCAGGATGATTGGTTGCCACCAGCAAAAGCAGAATGATTGGTTGCCACCAGCAAAAGGCAGGATAATTGGTTGCCACCAGCAAAGGCAGGATGATTGGTTGCCACCAGCAAAAGCAGGATGATTGGTTGCCACCAGTAAAGGCAGTATAATTGGTTGCCGCCAGCAAAGGCAGGATGATTGGTTGCCGCCAGCAACAGCAGATGATTGGTTGCTGCCAGCAAACGCAGATGATTGGTTGCCACCATAAAAGTCCATGATGTGTGAAGGGCTAGTGGCCGTGTCTTCTGTGGGATTAACTTGCCCCTTGTTTGTTCACAGTATTAACAGAAATGGCTCTGGATAACTCTGATGTGGCTTTAGGTCAGCAGAAATAACCACATCATTGTTTCCAGACTACATCTATGGCCAGACACATAACAGCTCCATTTATAGTCAGGTGGCATGCTCAAAGGACGTTCACTGCAAATTATCCATTGCCATGGCACATATCATGTGTGAATCTTCTGTGTTGTATGTCAGTGCATGTCTTCTGTTTCCACGTCATGTGTCAATCTTCTGTGACGTATCACATTACACGTCTTCTTTTTCCCCAGAGTGCAGTTCCTTTTGCAGTGGTGGGTGCAAATACAGTCATTGAGGTGAAGGGTCGAAAGGTCAGAGGCCGCATGTACCCATGGGGGGTGGTGGAGGTTGAAAATCCAGAACACTGTGACTTCATTAAATTGAGAACTATGCTCATGTGAGTGTTACAGTTGAGGGTGTGATTGTTACAGCTGTGTTTTATGATTGTTACAGCTGTGTTGTATGATTGTTACAGCTGGTGCTACTGTGTGATTGTTACAGCTGGTGGTACTGTGTGATTGTTACAGCTGGTGGTACTGTATGATTGTTACAGCTGGTGCTACTGTGTGATTGTTACAGCTGGTGGTACTGTATGATTGTTACAGCTGGTGGTACTGTATTATTGTTACAGCTGGTGGTACTGTGTGAGTCTGGTCTGGTAGTCTTAGTTTCAGCTTCATAGCAAACGGTCACCCCATCTTTGCTCCGCTTCTGTGCTAACGAAAAACACACAGAATGTTTATCACAGTCCCTTGTAGAAAGATTGACAGACTGCTGTTTCAGCATATCTAGCATACACTCTCATTAAAGCATACGGTAGCCATCCGAAGCCATACTGTGTGATTGTTGCAGCTGGTGGTACTGTATGATTGTTACAGCTGGTGGTACTGTGTGATTGTTACAGCTGGGGGTACTGTGTGATTGTTGCAGCTGGTGGTACTGGATGATTGTTGCAGCTGGTGGTACTGTGTGATTGTTACAGCTGGTGGTACTGTGTGATTGTTACAGCTGGTGGTACTGTGTGATTGTTACAGATGGGGGTACTGTGTGATTGTTGCAGCTGGTGGTACTGTGTGATTGTTGCAGCTGGTGGTACTGTGTGATTGTTACAGCTGGGGGTACTGTGTGATTGTTGCAGCTGGTGGTACTGGATGATTGTTGCAGCTGGTGGTACTGTATGATTGTTACAGCTGGTGGTACTGGATGATTGTTGCAGCTGGTGGTACTGTATGATTGTTACAGCTGGTGGTACTGTGTGATTGTTACAGTGGGTGGTACTGGATGATTGTTACAGCTGGCAATGTTCTGGAAAGCAGACATATTACCAGAACGTATTACTCCTCATGGCATGAAAATGGATTTTTACAGAGATTTTGTTTGTTAAATAGCTTTTACTTGTGCTATTCTTTTTACTCTCTATGTTTTCTCTTTGTGTATGTATGTTTGTGTATGCCCACCTCACCCCAATATTGCTGTATTTACTATTGATTTTGGTACCACAGAGTTGTTTGTGCACTGCCTGCCAAGTCAATGGTTTGGTTTAGTAACTAGACGATGGCGTGTCCCTGCCCAGTTCCGCTAACTGCCTCACATGCAGAGATGGGTACCAGACAATTTTCAGAGTTGTCCAGGAAGGAAAAGCAATGGGGAATGGAATTGGCCCCTCAGATCTCTGATGTCCTGTCCTAGAACATGTGAAGGTCCAACACTTGACACTCTGATGTCCTGTCCTAGAACATGTGCGGGTCCAACACTTGACACTCTGATGTCCTGTCCTAGAACATGTGCCGATCCAACACTTGACACTCTGATGTCCTGTCATAGATCATGTGCGGGTCCAACACTTGACACTCTGATGTCCTGTCATAGAACATAAATAGGTCCAACACTTCACACTCTGATGTCCTGTCCTAGAACATGTGTGGATCCAACACTTGATACTTTGATGTCCTGTCATAGATCATGTGCAGATCCAACACTTGATACTCTGATGTCCTGTCATAGAACATAAATAGGTCCAACACTTCACACTCTGATGTCCTGTCCTAGAACATGACCGGTTCCAACACTTGACACTCTGATGTCCTGTCCTAGAACATGTGCGGGTCCAACACTTGACACTCTGATGTCCTGTCCTAGAACATATACAGGTCCAACACTTGACACTCTGATGTCCTGTCATAGAACATATACAGGTCCAACACTTGACACTCTGATGTCCTGTCCTAGAACATGTGCGGATCCAACACTTGACACTCTGATGTCCTGTCCTAGAACATGTGCGGGTCCAAAACTTGACACTCTGATGTCCTGTCCTAGAACATTTGCGGATCCAACACTTGACACTGTGATGTCCTGTCCTAGAACATATGCGGATCCAACACTTGACACTCTGATGTCCTGTCCTAGAACATATGCGGATCCAACACTTGACACTCTGATGTCCTGTCCTAGAACATATGCGGATCCAACACTTGACACTCTGATGTCCTGTCATAGATCATGTAAAGGTCTTGACAACCTAACAGGATTATCTCCCATGGAACTAGCTTCACCTTTGACAATCTGTCTTTGTATATGTGGGTATCAAATCGTCTGCCCTGTTGATAGCCTGGTGTTTTTTTCAGCACCCACATGCAAGATTTGCAAGAGGTCACCCAGGAAACACATTATGAAAACTTCAGAGCGGAGAAACTTGCAAGTGGCAGTATCATCAAATCAAAATCTGGGTCAGTATGGCATTTTTCAGCTGATTTTGTTCTCTTTCAACACCTTGAGTTTAGCTGAATTCTTCTTCTGTTATCAAATAGTTATGACAAGTGTGCAGGTTATTAAGAGAGCTTATACTGTGTCTGCACCCCACAGACCACTGTCATGTGGTTGGGTTCCAATGTTTATCTCAGGAAATTGCCAGCGCAACACTTTTCCAATCAGTGACCCGTGAGATATTTATTACCTCCCATTATTTCATGTCACATATTTGGGATGACCAGTGCTCCAGTTTCCAGAAGTGTTCACATGTAGCAGTGTTTTCTTACAGCACATCAGTCTCTGGGAGTCATGCCAGCACAGTCAGTTGTCTGCTGACTGAGTTAATAGATGTTCTAGATCCTGCTAAAGGTTTTCCTGAATGATACTAACTCCAGAAAATGTTTAGGCAGTCAAGGTGTTCAGAATGATAGTAACCATCACCTGCTGATTGCTTAGTAAACTTGAGGGACTAGCTCCATGTAGCTTGTATGCCTGAAGGTGTTGATGGCTCCAGTTTGTTTTCTCTCAGATCAGCAATTGTTTGTATGGAGTAGTAACTAAAAAACAGACATGCCATTCCCCCTGTCTGAGTAAAAGAGGAGGGAACATGACACTTTGTGGCCTGCACTTTGGGAGGCAAGAGGAGGAAACATGACACTTTGTGACATGTACATTGAGAGACAAGAGGAGGGAATATGACACTTTGTGGTCTGCACATTGGGAGACAAGAGGAGGAAACATGACACTTTGTGACATGTACATTGAGAGACAAGAGGAGGGAATATGACACTTTGTGACATGTACATTGAGAGACAAGAGGAGGGAATATGACACTTTGTGACATGTACATTGAGAGACAAGAGGAGGGAATATGACACTTTGTGGTCTGCACATTGAGAGACAAGAGGAGGGAATATGACACTTTGTGACATGTACATTGAGAGACAAGAGGAGGGAATATGACACTTTGTGACATGTACATTGAGAGACAAGAGGAGGGAATATGACACTTTGTGACATGTACATTGGGAGACAAGAGGAGGGAACATGACACTTTGTGACATGTACATTGAGAGACAAGAGGAGGGAATATGACACTTTGTGACATGTACATTGAGAGACAAGAGGAGGGAATATGACACTTTGTGACATGTACATTGAGAGACAAGAGGAGGGAATATGACACTTTGTGACATGTACATTGGGAGACAAGAGGAGGGAATATGACACTTTGTGACATGTACATTGAGAGACAAGAGGAGGGAATATGACACTTTGTGACATGTACATTGAGAGACAAGAGGAGGGAATATGACACTTTGTGACATGTACATTGAGAGACAAGAGGAGGGAATATGACACTTTGTGGTCTGCACATTGGGAGACAAGAGGAGGGAATATGACACTTTGTGACATGTACATTGAGAGACAAGAGGAGGGAATATGACACTTTGTGACCTGTACATTGGGAGACAAGAGGAGGGAATATGACACTTTGTGACATGTACATTGAGAGACAAGAGGAGGGAACATGACACTTTGTGACATGTACATTGAGAGACAAGAGGAGGGAATATGACACTTTGTGACATGTACATTGAGAGACAAGAGGAGGGAACATGACACTTTGTGACATGTACATTGAGAGACAAGAGGAGGGAACATGACACTTTGTGACATGTACATTGAGAGACAAGAGGAGGGAACATGACACTTTGTGACATGTACATTGAGAGACAAGAGGAGGGAACATGACACTTTGTGACATGTACATTGAGAGACAAGAGGAGGGAACATGACACTTTGTGACATGTACATTGAGAGACAAGAGGAGGGAACATGACACTTTGTGACATGTACATTGAGAGACAAGAGGAGGGAACATGACACTTTGTGACATGTACATTGAGAGACAAGAGGAGGGAATATGACACTTTGTGGTCTGCACATTGAGAGACAAGAGGAGGGAATATGACACTTTGTGACATGTACATTGAGAGACAAGAGGAGGGAATATGACACTTTGTGACATGTACATTGAGAGACAAGAGGAGGGGAATATGACACTTTGTGGTCTGCACATTGAGAGACAAGAGGAGGGAATATGACACTTTGTGACATGTACATTGAGAGACAAGAGGAGGGAATATGACACTTTGTGACATGTACATTGAGAGACAAGAGGAGGGAATATGACACTTTGTGGTCTGCACATTGAGAGACAAGAGGAGGGAATATGACACTTTGTGACATGTACAATGAGAGACAAGAGGAGGGAACATGACACTTTGTGACATGTACATTGAGAGACAAGAGGAGGGAATATGACACTTTGTGACATGTACATTGAGAGACAAGAGGAGGGAACATGACACTTTGTGACATGTACATTGAGAGACAAGAGGAGGGAACATGACACTTTGTGACATGTACATTGAGAGACAAGAGGAGGGAACATGACACTTTGTGACATGTACATTGAGAGACAAGAGGAGGGAATATGACACTTTGTGACCTGTACAATGAGAGACAAGAGGAGGAAACATGACACTTTGTGACCTGCAGATTGTGAGACAAGAGGAGGGAACATGACACTTTGTGACCTGCACATTGGGAGACAACAGGAGGAAACATGACACTTTGTGACCTGCACATTGGGAGACAACAGGAGGAAACATGACACTTTGTGGCCTGCACATTGGGAGACAACAGGAGGAAACATGACACTTTGCGGCCTGCACATTGGGAGACAAGAGGAGGGAACATGACACTTCGTGACCTGCACATTGGAAGACAAGAGGAGGGAACATGACACTTTGTGACCTGCACATTGGGAGACAACAGGAGGAAACATGACACTTTGTGACCTGCACATTAGGAGACAAGAGGAGGAAACATGACACTTTGTGGCCTGCACATTGGGAGACAACAGGAGGAAACATGACACTTTGTGGCCTGCACATTGGGAGACAAGAGGAGGGAACATGACACTTCGTGACCTGCACATTGGGAGACAAGAGGAGGGAACATGACACTTCGTGACCTGCACATTGGGAGACAAGAGGAGGGAACATGACACTTCGTGACCTGCACATTGGGAGACAAGAGGAGGGAACATGACACTTTGTGACCTGCACATTGGGAGACAATAAGGAGGTAACCAATGTTCCACAAGTACAGGTAATGAGGAGGTAACCAACATTCCACAAGTAGAGGTAATGAGGAGGTAACCAACATTCCACAAGTACAGGTAATGAGGAGGTAACCAACATTCCACAAGTACAGGTAATGAGAAGGTATCCAACATTCCACAAGTACAGGTAATGAGGAGGTAACCAACATTCCACAAGTACAGGTAATGAGGAGGTAACCAACATTCCACAAATGCAGGTAGTGAACACTATTCTAGGTACCCATAAGTTAACCAACATACCTCATATTTCAGTAGATTAGCATATATTTCAGTTATTTTTTTTTTTTTTTTGGGGGCTGTATTTTTTCCTCTTATTTTCATTTCTGGTCATACCACCTGCCGTCTGTTTTCTTTTTAAAATTATTATTTCTTTCTTTACACATATCTGCTGCCAGTTATTATTTTTTTTTTTTTTTTTACTCCTAAGCATATCAACTGTCAGTTTTGTTTTTTTCCTGAATTCCTCCTATAACTTCTGTATTCAGTTTTTTTCATTATTTTCTTGTATGACGTATCAGCTGTCAGTTTTTAAAATGTTATTTCCTCCTATAACATATCATGTGTAATTTTTTAACATGTTATTTCTCCCTATGATATATCCTGTGTTAGTTTTTTAACATGTTATTTCTTCCTAAACATATTGTGTGTTAGTTTTTTAACATGTTATTTCCTCCTGTAACATATCCTATTTTAGTTTTTTAACATGTTATATCCATATCCATTTGTCACTATCTAACATTTTTTCTCCCCATTGATATTTACTCATCTACCATCAAATCTGTCGGCTCTCTGGCTAAGTCGATGCGAAAGCTTTATGATGCTGGGCTGCCGGGTTCGATCCCAGTTGCAGGCCATGCGCCTTGCGTTAGTTTCAACAGTGGTATCAAGAAGCTGACCGTCCAGAAAGCAATGGCAAACTACTGGACGTAAATTTACCTAGAGAAACCACACAACAGCCAGGGGCTGCTGGGGTTGGTTTTGCAACATCCTATGAAGGATACGCAACTAACCTAACCATCAATTCTGATTTTAATTCTGTCCTCTAATTCATGTTAGTTCTGCCATTAATGTTCACGTCCACCTACCCGAGTACTCTTGTTTAATGGCTGTTTTCTATTTTCTGCTTGGGTTGTGGTTTACGGTGGATGGGTGTCACCACCACAAACTTCACAAATCACATCTGGTAAGCACAATATATATGACAGCCAGCACAATGTTATTCTTGTAAACAGCTTGACATTTTGGTTGCCATTATTTTAACCCTTTATGTTATCACTGATATCATTTGACACTGAAGTGTTGTCCTGCTAGTAATACATTTGATGTTGTGTTGAATGTCAGTAGTAACTTCAGTACAGTCAGTTCCAGAAGTTGTTTCCAACTTCAAAATCTGTAACAGGAATCGTTCAGTGTCAGTTGTTGACATTTGGCATACAACCTCCTTATAAGAATGTCCTTGTGAGAAATTAAAAAAAAAATGTAAACAGATGTTAGTTTTCATTATACCAGATTTGTGGTGTATTGAAAAAAACAAAACAGACAATCAAAGCAAACAGCGAGCTTACCGTAACTTGAGTAAAGGGAACTTTTCAGAAAATTGGATTGCACAAGTTTCATGGAGTCTTCACTCTTGAGTGGTCGTCTCCAGAAATTTACTCTCATAAGTTGTTAGAAAAACACAATTTTTCCTTGTGTGCCATATAGGCTGTCAAAATAATTTACATGCATGGCTGCACATGTGAGCTCTCCTTCTTCTTCTTCTTTGCATTTACAGACTCTAAACTCTGGTGGAAAGTTCTGGTTATTCGTCCACTTCTGGACTGCAGTACTGTTTCAGAACCTGAGTGTAGCGTGTGCATCCGTTTGACAGACCTGACTCATTTGTATGCAGACTGTTGGTTCCTTTTGGATAGGCAGTGGGTATATTCTTGTTTTCCATAAAATAGGGCCCCAGAACCCACACGGGGAACATGTTAACTGATTTCGAAACAATCTCCACACACTTGTCAGTTATTTAATATTTTGTTCTTTTTAAGTGATACTGATTACTAATTTAAGAATCGTCATGATAGCCCACGGGCATACTCATAGATGCTCTGTCTCCCTCAGAAAATATCTTAATGTGTATATGCTAACTGTTTCAGTAGCACACTGATTATACACACATCGTTCTCTTCCTCTCATCCGTCCCTCCTTGCCAGATCCACACTTAATTCCTGGCTCACACATTCTTGCATATGTTTTTCGTCTAGTCTCATGTTTTCTGTCAGTAGTCGTTGATATACGGTCTTCAGAATATCTTCCTTGTCCAGTACCAGTGTTTCAGTAGCTTTCGCTTTTGTAGCCTGAAAATCCACTCTTTTATTACCTCGCACTCCTGCATATCCCGGTCAGTATATCCACGTGATTCCCTGCAATGTTGGCGTACTGATGCATCGTATCCACTCATGCATGTTACATTAGTCCATTTTGAACTTTTCATAATGCAACTGAGGATCAGACACAATTATTCCTCTGCTAACTTTGTTTTCTGCTATCTGATTCAGAGCTGCAGTGAATGCCTCCACTTCCATTCTCATGCTTGAAGTTATAGATTAAAAAAGCTCCATTTTGTTCTACCACGATTTTTCCCTTTATTTTAAATGAAAATGCCCAGCCGGTTTTACACCTCGATGAACAGAACCATCGGTGTACACTACTACATCATCTAGCTCAGGCTTTCCATCTATCAGTTGTTGTACCTCTAATTCTGCTATATACTCTCTACATTTTCTTCCTAATGTGATAATGAACTCATAGAAACTGCTGTTGTGGGTGTTCGTGTTGACCCATTCCTGCTCCCTGTGTATTTGCTTGACAAGGCTGCTGTCTCGATGGTATCTTCAGCTAGTGCCATCCATGACTTTCCTCTTTTCAACCGCTCTCCTCTTAAATCGACTCAGATTACGATGCCTTTCTTCATTGATAACTCCCATATAGTATAGGCCTTGGCTTGAGCCAGTGACAGTCTAGATTTGACCGATGTCAACCCAGGCATATACCTCATTGGTTTAATTAGGTTATCTTGTTTGCAAACCAAGACAATTCTCATTCCTTCATTTTGAATCCTTTCAAGCTTTGTACACTGTGAAGTTGAAAGGGTTAATATTCCTAGGCCATAATCGATTACAGAAAGGACCAAATGGTTGAACAATGAGACGAATAAGCTCTTTTCCATGTGTGTTGCTACTATCGTCTTTAGTGCTTATTTATGGCTGGTTAGATTTTGCAACTGAAGTTTTCAATGGGATGAAGCAACCTACCCTCTACCCCAACCCTCTAGACAGTTTCTGATAACACCCAGACATATTAGACCCCTGTTATTGAAGGTCTGCCATTAAGAGTCCAGGTAAGACAAGTCATTTTTGTAATCTGATTTTAAATATTGCTGCTTCTTTTCTAACCTTGTGTGTTTGGATTGTTTTTCACCTTAGATTTTTCTCACTAGAAAGAGTACGCTTGATTTGTAGCTAGCTATATATACAAAAGCACTGCATTTTTCTGGTATACCTCTTTTTATGTTTGTTACCAAATGTTTATATTATTTTTACTTGTTCAGATAAGTATTGCAAGGACAGCACAGTTGATATCTAATCTGCTGTATTTATTCAAGCATGACGTCTACTGCTTAAAAGAACTTTTTTTTTTGGTACTCACTAAAATATAACACACTTTTCTATATTTGATTCATACTTATATAAATGCACAATGGAAATGCTATTAGAGAAAAATATTGTGTTGCATCAGTTTTATATTTGTGTCCCTAGAAATGCTTTCTTCAGCACCATTGTTGTTGTTGTGCCACAGTTGTTTGCGCTTTCCTCTTTTTGATGTGTGCTGCAACTTGCAGTGATTATCACAAGACTTGGAATGCTTATTTGTTGTCTGTAAAGTACCCTCAGAGGAGAGAGGAAATACAGTTGTTGTGTCTGCAGTCATGTATGGGGACATCTGGCTGAGGTTGTCTGTAAAGTGCCCTCAGAGGAGAGAGGAAAAACACAGTTGTTGTGTCTGCAGTCGTGTATGGGGACATCTGGCTGAGGTTGTCTGTAACATGCCCTCAGAGGAGAGAGGAAACACAGTTGTTGTGTCTGCAGTCGTGTATGGGGACATCTGGCTGAGGTTGTCTGTAACGTGCCCTCAAATGAGAGAGAAAACACAGTTGTTGTGTCTGCAGTCGTGTATGGGGACATCTGGCTGAGGCTGTCTGTAACGTGCCCTCAGAGGAGAGAGGAAACACACAGTTGTTGTGTCTGCAGTCGTGTATGGGGACATCTGGCTGAGGTTGTCTGTAACGTGCCCTCAGAGGAGAGAGAAAACACAGTTGTTGTGTCTGCAGTCGTGTATGGGGACATCTGGCTGAGGCTGTCTGTAACGTGCCCTCAGAGGAGAGAGGAAACACACAGTTGTTGTGTCTGCAGTCGTGTATGGGGACATCTGGCTGAGGTTGTCTGTAAAGTGCCCTCAGAGGAGAGAGTAAACACAGTTGTTGTGTCTGCAGTCATGTATGGGGACATCTGGCTGAGGTTGTCTGTAACGTGCCCTCAGAGGAGAAAGGAAACACAGTTGTTGTGTCTGCAGTCGTGTATGGGGACATCTGGCTGAGGTTGTCTGTAACGTGCCCTCAGAGGAGAGAGGAAACACAGTTGTTGTGTCTGCAGTCGTGTATGGGGACATCTGGCTGAGGTTGTCTGTAACGTGCCCTCAGAGGAGAGAGGAAACACAGTTGTTGTGTCTGCAGTCGTGTATGGGGACATCTGGCTGAGGTTGTCTGCTAGTTAGAATCCATACCTCCCAGACAGTGGTCTAAATTCTGTCCACAGAAAGTCCAGGGTTTTATTTTTTTTACACCACTACAGAGTTGGCTCAGCCTGCCACAAAAAATGGTCTACAGAGTGTCTGGAAATTTAATGTAATGAGCTAGGGAATATGCTGTCCGACTTTGTTTGGCCCTAGAAATTGAAAACTCCTCACCTCAATATCTGCTCTAGGACTATTTGTTACATTTGAAAATATGTGGCCACCAGAAGTTCCTGTATGTTTTGATTACATGTGTGGTTTCTTGTATGTTTTGATTACATACGTGGCTTCTTGTATGTTTTGATTACATATCTGGGTTCTTGTATGTCTTAATTACATGTGTGGGTTCTTGTATGTCTTGATTACACTGCCCCTCCAACAAATGTGTCATAAAAGGTGTCAAATCAAGGCTTAGCTGAAGCTGAATGTGTTCTGCAGAAAGGTGCAAATATCACAGCCCAGCTTTAAAACACAATGTTCCAACATCTTGTTTACTGAGGGTCAATAGAGAAGCGTTAAATAACTTAACATGTGTCAAGACTTTCTTGCATAACACTTAGTGATGTTCTTCTGTAAAAATATTGATTGTATATTTTCAACACAGGAAATCTAATGCCGTGTATGGTAGGCTGGAGAACGGAGGCGGAGAATTTACAGATAAAGAGAGAGAACTCAGGCAGAAAGAAGAGGAGGTAATTGGATTTTTATTTTTATCAGTAGCTGATGATCACATAGAAGATTTGCACAAATATCTATCTCTACAGGCTAAAGATATTTACAAGTGTGTGGGTGGGTGTGCAGGATTTTGTTGTTGTTGTCCAACATAGAACCTAACGTTTGTCTTCATTAGATAGAAATCCTGTCTGTCTCCCGCTTCCTTTTCCCCATTTTCAATTAGGTAACTAAAAGAAGAGAAAACGTTGAAGAAATCTTTAGCATTTTCTGTACAGCCACATTCTCTACGGGCTCTTGTTTATTGTACAGCCACATTCTCTACGGGCGCCAGAAATTTGTTTTCTTTTCTCTACAGCCACATTCTCTACGGGCTCCAGAAATGTGTTTTCTGTACAGCCATATTCTCTGCGGACTACAGAAATTTGTTTTCTCTACAGCCACATTCTCTACGGGCTCTTGTTTTCTGTACAGCCACATTCTCTACAGGCTCTTGTTTTCTGTACAGCCACATTCTCTACGGGCGCCAGAAATTTTTCTTTTCTCTACAGCCACATTCTCTACGGGCTCCAGAAATGTGTTTTCTGTACAGCCATATTCTCTGCGGACTACAGAAATTTGTTTTCTCTACAGCCACATTCTCTACGGGCTCCAGAAATTTATTTCTCTACAGCCACATTTTCTACGGGCTCCAGAAATGTGTTTTCTGTACAGCAACATTCTCTACAAGCGCCAGATATTTGTTTGCCTTGAATACTTATTGTCCAGTATTTACAGCCTACCTGTACATGATTAACTCCAGTTACTACCATTACTGACAAACATATAACTGATTACTAACAAACATACAACTGGCCCCAGTTGCTAACATTACTGACAAACATACAATTGGCCCCAGTTGCTAACATTACTGACAAACATACAATTGGCTCCAATTGCTAACATTACTGACAAAGATACAACTGGCCCCAGTTGCTAACATTACTGACAAACATACAATTGGCCCCAGTTGCTAACATTACTGACAAACATACAATTGGCCCCAGTTGCTAACATTACTGACAAACGAAAAACTGGCCCCAGTTGCTAACATTACTTGCAAACAAATCACTGGCCCCAGTTGCTAACATTACTGGCAAACAAATCACTGGCCCCAGTTGCTAACATTGCTGACAAACAAATAACTGGCTCTGTTTCCTAACATTACTGACAAACATACAACTGGCCCCAGTTGCTATTATTACTGACAAACATATAACTGGCCCCAGTTGCTGCCATTACTGACAAACATAAAACTGGCTCTGGTTGCTAACATTACTAACAAACATCTAACTGGCTCCAGCTGCTACCTTTACTGACAAACATAAAACTGCCTCTGTTTGCTAACATTACTGACAAACATATGACTGGCGCCAGTTGCTAACATTACTGACAAACATATAACTGGCTCTGGTTGCTAACATTACTGACAAACATAAAACTGCCTCTGTTTGCTAACATTACTGGCAAACAAATCACTGGCCCCAGTTGCTACCATTACTGACAAACATAAAACTGACTCTGGTTGCTAACATTACTGACAAACATAAAACTGACTCTGGTTGCCAACATTACTGACAAACATATGACTGGCCCCAGTTGCTAACATTACTGACAAACATAAAACTGACTCTGTTTCCTAACATTACTGACAAACATATAACTGGCTCCAGTTGCTATTATTACTGACAAACATAAAACTGACTCTGGTTGCTCACATTACTGACAAACATATAACTGGCTCTGGTTGCTAACATTACTGACAAACATATAACTGGCTCTGGTTGCTAACATTACTGACAAACACATGATTGGCTCTGGTTGCTAACATTACTGACAAACATATAACTGGCTCTGGTTGCTAACATTACTGACAAACATATAACTGGCTCTGGTTGCTAACATTACTGACAAACATAAAACTGGCCCCACTTGCTAACATTGCTGACAAACACATGATTGGCTCTAGCTGCTACTGTTAATTATATCTGTTGACATTATTGGTAAAGAACTTTTGTGAATGAATGAAGCAGAGACCATGTTTTCTTCTTGCCCACAGCTGCGTAGAATGCAAGAACGCCTGACCCGCATGCAGGCGGAAATTGAGTCCAAAAAACCACAGCTGATTCACAATGGGGATCTGAAATCACAAGATGTTTAGCATTGATCCAGCTCAGGTACTGTCAGCATTGTGCTGAGAGGTTTAACTCTTTACCTCATATCTATAGGTGGTATTTAGTGTGTGTCCAGTCTTCTTCCTCTGTCTCTTCTTCCACAGCTTTTTCCTCCTCCTTTTCTTTCTTTTCTTCATCACAAATTTCTTCTTTTTCCTAATCCTAGACCATTCCCTGCTCTGTTCTTCCTTGTGTTGTTCCTCTGCTTCTGCTTGTTATCAGATGGAACACAGACCATTAACTAACTGAAGGATCATTCCTTCTTAGACTTGTTTATAATTTTTTAATGATATTTAGGTATCAAGTCTCTTGCGAACCCTCCATGTTAGCACTTATGACATGCTTGCTAGGCTGCAGGCACACAGTTCTGTAGTTACCTTATATGCCTCAGTAGTGCACAGCCTGGCCTTCCATGTTTTTTAAGTTTAAATCTGATGTGTTAGATAGTCATCTGGTATGATTATATAGTGAGGTAGACTTTTCTAGCAGGAGGTATATCAGCTGTTTTACTCGTGGCAGAATCCAGTATTTCGTTCATAACTAAGCTATGGCAGCAAAATTTTGAGTGGTTTTACCTCCGTCCGTGTGAAGTCGGGTAACATCAAAACAGGTGCTGGAAAGGCCACCTTTGGTGTTCAGGCAGCCTTGGACGTGGTGTTCCATGTCGTGGAAAGTCCGTCTCAGTACGTCAGGTCTCACTGCTTCGATGGCCACACTGATGTTTGATTTCTAGGCCTGTATGGTTCCTGGCCATTTCCAGCACCTGTTATGGTGTCGTCTGACTTTCCATGAGCAGAGGTAAGTCCACTCCAAATTTGTTTTGGCCATATCTTCATTAGTGTTGGAGTTATGCATGACATACTGAGCCAATAAAAGGAGCATTCATCAAAACCCTGTTCCTATGGCATTATTACAGAAGCATGAAAGAAATATCAACAGGTGCAGCAGAGTTGAAGAAATCATTCATTTTGAATGAATTATGCACCTTGAGTTAGTCAGAAAAAGTTACAGTAGAATTCAGGCAAACATCCCATTGCTTAGGTAAGCAGCAAATGCTTCTGCAAAAAAAAAAAAAAAGATTATGGTTGCTCTTGGCCCCAAGTGCTTATCGTGTCAGTTATATAGGATCCACTGTAAACACACCTTTTGATATTGTAGTTTCTTACAAACAGCATTTTAAATTGTTCCAGTTGACAGTCAAATTCTTTCACTAGGGAATAAGTGATTCGACAACAGTTCACCTATCTTGCTGAGTCAGTTTTGGAAGATCTGTTGTGAACTCGTATCCTTTCTGAAACATTCCTGCCCAGTCTTTCACTGTTGCCTTTGACACACATTTGTTACCGTACGTTGCCTGCATTCTTTGATGAATGTCCACTATTCTGCACTCTTGAAATGAAAGATAAATGAATCACCTCTCTTTAGGCATTTTTGGACAGTTTTTAGATCAACCTAGCCAATTTTTCAGTGGTCAGAAACAGATACTATGTATCCTGGAATGATAAGCTTGTGCTCATTTATTCATTGGTCAGTACTTGTCACATGATTGTCATGTTCAGCCAATACAGGCAGTTACCTGTGGTGTGTCACAACCGGGGTTCAGATGTGTAGCAGGTCCTATACAGAATGTTGCTTCTATCTGGCTAAAACAAACTCAGTCCCTGGTCAGCTCTGCTGTCTCATGGATGTACCTGCCTGATGGATGTTCCTGTCTCATGCATGTTCCTGTCTCATGAATGTTCCTGTCTCATGCATGTTCCTGTCTCGCACATGTTCCTGTCTAAAGTTTCACTTATATCCTGTGCCCACCTTCTTGGTTGGCCTCTGTTTCTCATACCTGCTACCATTACTACATCCTTTCCAAGCCACTGTGACAGTTGTGGCCAAAGTGTATACGTTTCTGAGACAAGATACTGTTTACGAGACAATCTTCCTTGATGTTTTTTTAAGATGTCAGTATTTTTTTCTTCTTAAATCCTTTGTTATTCTAGGAATCTTTCTATAAACTTTCAGCCCAAGAGTTGCAGATTTCTTCTTTAAAGATTTCCTTTGATTTGCTTTCTGATGCTTATAAGCCTAAACCCCGTGCGCTGGTAAGAATGCACCAACCAACCAAACAGTGGAATAGACATTTGTTGCAAATAAAAAAGACTGAAGAGGCACAATACTGGGGCTATTGCAGGTCAGATGAGAGTCAGCCAAAATCATCCAAAATCACATGATTTGACAATGAAATGTCCTAGCTCACCTATCCTTTTCTTTCAGGACCACAAGATTGAGGCCAGCATGTTCTGATACACTGCAGATGTGCCGGTTGATAGACACCACAAGATCAGCCTTGACCTACAACATTTACATGCTGACTTTATTTTTCTGGGTCTCATTCTTTGTTATTTTTCAATTGAGGTCACTTTCTGCTCATTTACTTTGTGCTTGCCTCAGTCTGAGTCATTTAAACTGGTTTATTGCTGTTTGATGATATGTGCTTTTTTTTTTTTTTTTTTGAAATGAAATACGAGTGTGTTTATGGTCGGTTATGAATGTACAGTAAAACAAACAGAATTTGTGAAGTTCCTTTGCATTAAAATGGTGTAATATCAAAGAGTCCGAAACAGCTGCTATAATAGAAAGTTAGTTGTGTATTCAGGTGAGACAGTCCATCTGGTTGTTCTAGCTCCTGCTAGCGTTCCCTTGTTCATGTTGTGTCTGTCTAGTGTACTTGTGCTCTTCTGCTTTTATTTGTGTTTAGTCTTAACTGTTCTATTTAGTCAAGTGTTGGGACAGCCTGGTTGATCTTCACACATGATCATGACTTTACAGTTTTGGGTGTGTGGTTTATTTTTTATAAACAATAAATAAATTGACCATTAACTATTAAAGATTACAAACTCTTTCTCAAAGTATTCAACATGTTTTTTATTTTTTAATGTTTGAATCTGGAATGAAGTAGCAAGACTGCATGTTAAAGTGAATGATGTGTTCAGCTTGATTGGCACAGAATCAGCTACTTATGCAAGACAGAGCTTATCTTCTAGAAGTAAAGAGGTGCCGGTACTTACCACAAAGTGTCTATTACACTAGTGGTGCCGGTATTTACCACAAAGTGTCTATAACATTAGTGGTGCTGGTACTTACCAAAAAGTGTCTATAACATTAGTGGTGCCGATACTTACCACAAAGTGTCTATTACACTAGAGGTGCCTGTACTCACAACAAAGTGTCTATTACACTAGTGGTACCGGTTCTTACCACAAAGTGTCTATTACTGCAGTAGTGCCTGTACTTACCACAAATTGCCTATTACAGCAGAGGTGCAGGTACTTACCAAAAAGTGTCTATTACACTAGTGATGTCGGTATTTACCACAAAGTGTCTATTACAGCAGTGATGCTAGTACTTACCACAAAGTGTCTATTACACTAGTGATGCTGGTACTTACCACAAAGTGTCTATTACACTAGTGATGCTGGTACTTACCAAAAGTGTCTATTACACTAGTGATTTTGGTACTTACCAAAAAGTGTCTATTACAGCAGAGGTGCCGGTACTTACCAAAAAGTGTCTATTACACTAGTGATGTCGGTATTTACCACAAAGTGTCTATTACAGCAGTGATGCTGGTACTTACCACAAAGTGTCTATTACACTAGTTATGCTGGTACTTACCACAAAGTGTCTATTACACTAGTGGTGCTGGTACTTACCACAAAGTGTCTATTACACTAGTGATGGTGGTACTTACCACAAAGTGTCTATTACAATAGTGATGCTGGTACTTACCACAAAGTGTCTATTACACTAGTGGTGCTGGTACTTACCACAAAGTGTCTATTACACTAGTGATGGTGGTACTTACCACAAAGTGTCTATTACAATAGTGATGCTGGTACTTACCACAAAGTGTCTATTACACTAGTGATGCTGGTACTTACCACAAAGTGTCTATTACAGTAGTGATGCTGGTACTTACCACAAAGTGTCTATTACAGTAGTGATGCTGGTACTTACCACAAAGTGTCTATTACAGTAGTGATGCTGGTACTTACCACAAAGTGTCTATTACAGCAGTGATGCTGGTACTTACCACAAAGTGTCTATTACACTAGTGATGCTGGTACTTACCACAAAGTGTCTATTACAGTAGTGATGCTGGTACTTACCACAAAGTGTCTATTACAGTAGTGATGCTGGTACTTACCACAAAGTGTCTATTACAGTAGTGATGCTGGTACTTACCACAAAGTGTCTATTACACTAGTGATGCTGGTAATTACCACAAAGTGTCTATTACAGTAGCGCTGAAGGAATGATACCTCAAAAGATGGAAGGGTTGATACTGAAGGCTGCTGCGTACATCCTGGGAAAAAAAGTCATGTCTAGACCCATATTTTGTATGGACCAATCGGTAGTCAGTTGGGGATTAGGTCAACATCGCATCAGCCATCTTTACTTTCCAGGTGATTTTCAGGTTCCTGTTACACTGGGTTGACCTGGGAGCCAATGTTAATTATAAAAAATCTTCCCTGACGCAGATCGAATTCAAAACTTGTAGCCCAAAAAGCAAGCATAATGACACATCATTCTGAAATTGTGCATTTTTCCTATAGCAACATACAAGGTGTATGCGTGTGTGTGTGTATATATATATATATATATATATATATATATATATATATATATATATATATAGGTTCCTGTGTTGCAAGTTAGCCTGTCTCTCTAGCGTAGTTGGCTAAACCGGATTGCGCGGTGAACGGGTGACGAACTCCTTGTGGTCCGGGCTCACTCCCGGGGGTGGGCAGAAAAGCCACATTTTCTCCCAGATTTACGGTATTTAAAATGGAATCAAGGCCGAAAGGTTGCGATATCCATAATACCGAGCCTAGGGATTAATAACTCATGGCTTCTGGATACTAAAACAAAACAAATGTTGCAAGTTAAAGTTCCTTCTTTTGTGAGTTAAGGTTCCTGTTTCACTAGTTAAGAT